CTCAGAGTCCTCAGGAACACACTTAATCTGCTTGAGTTTTATGTCAGAGGTACCAAGCCTTGCTTCCCTCCGGGTTTGGATGACTGCAGTGTGTTCTCGTGAGGCGAGAATCTCCAGTGGATCTTGCAGAGAGAGCTTTCAAAAAATTGTTAATAAAATATTGACAAAAAGCCTGGAAAGACTTAATATAGTTGGATTATATTGAAAGGTCAGGTAATTTGTATTTTATGCCTTTGTTTGGATAAAAACATGGGGTTTTTTTAAAGTGCTAAATCTTGATGTTTTGAAATCTAGAATAAGTCAGAATTGAAATCTCTGGTTTTGGATAAGGAAAATGGCAGTTAAGGTGGTGATCTCCTGAATGAGCTGTTTCTCATGGATCTTGCAAAGATACCTTCCTTCAGGCAAGATGAAGAAACGAGCACCTAGATTTTCAAGTATAGAAGATAGACATTCAGCTGTCTTCTGCTGTCATGAACAGCAGAATCCTGACATTTCAGTTCAGTTCTTCATGTTCTTTTAAATTTCTTCTTCAAATTACTCATTTCTAACACAAGGTTAACATCCATGTATGAAACTGAAGTCACAGTCTACCCGCTTAATTTATGATTAATCTTAGCCTCTTCCTTTTTAGGAGGTGTTATAAAACTAATTTTTGAGGAGCTAAATAGTGTGTGGAAGTTATTGTTGGAGCGGTGGGAGGAATTCATGCTCTGAAAGAAGGTCTAAATTGGGTAGATCTAATCCACAGCTGCCATGTTAATTTGGAATCAGAGAAACACAGGGGGTGAGATACAGGGGTCATTTTACCTTAGTTGATTTACCTGTTCCAAGGCAGGATTAGCTGTTACCTGTATTTTGTCTGACAAGTGTTCATTCAAATGCTCTTTTAAATGCTCTGAAGCAGTGAAGAATCACAGTCTTCCAGCACAACCCACTGCAGCGTATCACTCTCTTGTTCTTAACTCTTAACAGACAGGAAGGACCTACCTGATGTTAACATTTTTCTTTCTGCAGGATCATTCTGTGGTCTAGTTTTGCAAATGTTTGAGACGTTCCCTTGCAAAGTCCTTTACAAGTGTAAAATATTAACAACAACTTTGTGGCATGCTTGCATCATTATTTCATCATGACTTGCTTCTGTTAAGGGCTTTTATGAAGAAAGCATGTTTTATCTTTTGCTGGCAATAATTCTAGAAAAATAATCTGATTGATAAAGAAAAAGCGTTCCTAGCATCAAAACGATCTCCCTCTGCAATGTGAAAGCAGAGTTAAAGGAAGATTTATTGGTTGTTGTACAGGTCTGACTTGGAATTACAGTTCAAGTGCTATCACCATGAAGACAGACAAATGAACACAAACTGGCCAGCTTCAGTCCAGGTCAGCGTTAATGCAACCCCACTTACCATTGAACGTGGCGACAACAAGACATCTCATAAACCTCTGCACCTAAAGCACGTCTGCCAGCCAGGAAGAAACACGATTCAAATTACAGTCACAGCATGTTGTTGTGTAAGTACACAGAGCTCACGGCTGCAGCTGCTGATGCTGAGTTTGCTATTTAGGTACAGTTTGCAAAGGTTGCCGTAGCTGAAAGAGCCTTACTCTCATTTTTTTCCATGCGTTTTTCTGGTAAGGTGCTTGTTTGATGGTGTTGACACAGTCAGAGTGCTAATATGGAAATGTTTGCTGCTGAATTATTGCAGAATGTAGTGGAGTCCTTCTGATGTCTCTGAAAAGGCTTGTGGTCTAGGGGAGGAAGGGAGTTTGACCACCTACCTCTTTAGCGTGTGCCTGTGTAACAAGGCGGCTCAAGTGTATTCATGTAGAAGTAGATCGTTGTGATGCAGACTGTTGTCTGGTACTAATTTCGTTTACGTAGGGTATTAAACTGTGTTTGGTTTGACATGAGAACATCAACACCATAATCATGGGGGGTGGTGGTGATTTTTCAAACAGCTTTTCAGATGAAAAACTCATATTCCATGATGCAGTCTAGACCATGCAGCTTTCCCCTTTCTCCTTTTCCATAGTTTACTCACTCTCAGGGACGAGTGCTGTATTAATGCAGACTGTTGCACGCATACAGTCTGAGCTTTTGACTGTTCTGTTGTCACTGACAAGAAAGCAAGCTGCTACCTCTCCCAAGGTCGCAGTGTGAGGCACTTTGACAAGAAGCCATCCACCCATTTTGCTTTACTTCACACTGATGTTTCTCCACATAATGTCATTTATCTGGTGGCTAAGAGCAGGGGCAGCATCTTGTGAATCCACAACGAGCTCTGTGCTGGGGAAGAAGATTCAGTTGGTTCCAGACCCATCGGTAGCAAATCGTTTTTGCAACTTCCAACATAGTCTGAGGGCAGGCAGGTAGGCTCGACTGTGTCAAAGAATCCAGGGTTTTAAAAATAAACCCTGATGTCAGAGATGAATATGTCAGCCCTATGTATTCTGAATATTAAGGAGGGAGAAAATGCAGAAAATCTTTTTTTAAAGCCCTTGTATACGTTATGCTCCCAGTGCGTGGAACAACATACTGCGCAGCATGCGGAACATCCCTAGGGGAGCACATGTGCGCAGCAGAGCAGAACCAGCTTTCGTATTCAAGCATCAGGCGCTTATGGAAGCCACGCGTCCAAGAGGAGAATGCAGCTCTGTTCAGCAGTGTGTTTGCCGCATGTGTTTGGTCCTCTTGGTAACAAAATGCGTTTTCTTTCAGTCACACTTGTTCGTGTTGCAGTTAGTACACCGGCCATCGGTTCGCTCTGTACTTCAAGGTCTACTAAAGAAACGCCTCCTCCCAGCAGAACATTGTATTACTAAGAGTGAGTTTTCATTTTGTGTGGGTGATGGCTTTCCAGAATGCCTATGTCCGGTTATGATAAGCTATTTCTACACAAGATTTACTTGCTTATTGAAAACCTTAAGCTGTACTTGTCAGGAATTTCCAGCATATCATGTGCATAGATTAAATCCTTGGTATCCTCAAATGGTGAGGGTAACAAAGTACCGAGGACACAAGCTTAGTTCCCAACAAGGACTCTACCATTCCAGGAGAATCTCTGGCTTTTCCCCTATATTTGTTGTTAACTTACCTAAAAGCCCCATGTAGAAAGATTATTCTTTACTTATTTAGGGCTGCTTTAAGTGCTTGCGTGGCACTTGATCTGGTTGAGGGTATAGCTGATACATGTGTGTGTGATGGTTTGCCTGTTCAGGAGAATGTTCTAAATTACACGGAGTACACCTATGTGAATAAATTGTCCATTAAATTGGCCCTTAAAGGTTGAAGTGTTGCTCTTTCAGATTTCTACGTTAGAATTTACAGTACGCTTGTGTTTTCTCACGCATAAACATACCTTCTTCCTGAACAGTAAAGAGGAACTTCAGTAGCGTAGCAGCTTCCTCTGGCAACGCGACACTAAACGGGGAAGATGGAGTAGAGCAAACTGCTATTAAAGTGTCTCTGAAATGTCCAATCACATTCCGGCGGATTCAGCTCCCAGCAAGGGGTCACGACTGCAAGCATGTACAAGTGAGTAGATGCCAGTGGCCTGGCAGTATTCCCTCAGCCATGTGTTGTTACAGTATCGTTACCTAGGTTATCGTATGAGAGCCTAATGAAATGGGATTTCTTTGTGTCTATCGACCAAAATAATTAACTATCTATATGTTTAGTGTAGAGGGAGAAAGTAAACTATTTGGTTTAGTTTTCAGTGCTAGTAGACTTTTTTAAGGGCAGTTTTACTTTTGTCCAATTGATTCAGTTAATACAATATTTTCCCTTGATTTCCTCTCCCCCCACCCCTTTGTTTCTTTCTGATACCTAGTGCTTTGATCTGGAATCTTACTTGCAACTGAACTGTGAAAGAGGAACTTGGAGGTGTCCAGTATGCAAGTAAGTGCAACCATGCTACATGAAATGCAGTTGTACACGATTTGACCAAATTCAGATCATATTTAAGGTCACAGAGGGGAGAAAAAGGAAGTGCTAGAAAATAAGGTGTATATACTACATTTACCTAATAGCATAAAGTCCAATGAGAATTCTTGCAATATTTCATAAATTGATGAACACCCTGGATTATTAGAAATTTAAAAACAGATAACGAGAGATTTTCTCACAAAATACATAATCTGTGAGCTCTCATTACAGGCTCATTACACATGGATTGTGCAGAGTTCAAAAGAAGCTCAAATATTTACATTGATAAGACAGATATCTACATAAACAAATGAACTGGGAGTTTGCCTTCCCCTAGATTACAAAGTATAAGCCACTACCAGACAACAACATGCCATGGCAAAAGAACAGATAGTCTATTCTAGAGTTATTTTTGTATAATTTTAATGCCGTAATGCCCAAATTCCTGAATTTCAAATATGTAGATACTGAAGTGTTCAGCATCCAGCTGAACGTTAAGTAAGGATGTCAAATAACCGCCTCAGGTACCGTGCTTTGAGTCACATAGATATGCAGTTAATGGCAGCGTTCAAGGAGAGGGGGAATTTTGGAGACTGCAACATTTCCCGGTAATTAGGTAGGAAATGAAGTTGGATCCTCCAAGGTCAAAGTCAACATCAAGTGCAAATTAAAGTGAGAGCAGAAAGCACAAAGGATTCTAGTCCAGAATAAGGCTGATTTTAAGAAAGGTAAAAGATCTCCGAGGAGCAGAAGTTTGGAGTGATTGCTTAAAGGCAAAGAGGGATACCTTGGCATACTTTCAACCTTATGTTTTGACCAGAGAGCTAGTATACTGCAGAAGAAATGGAACAAAAAGCTTTGAAGTTGTTACAGACTGCCCATTCTGACTGGGCAGAAAGAATCGCAGAACGTTTGCAGGCCACTTCAGTGTCTGTAACCTACTGTGCTCAGTCCACGGGGTTACAAGTTTGATCCAGCCTCAGCTGAGGAGCCAGGGCTCTTCAGCTCAAGCAGCTGTACCTGTAGCAGCATGTACTTTATCTCTGCAAGTCTCCAGTTCAATCCCTGCTGCCCCAGCTGTTAGGTATAAGCAGGAGTGGAGATTGTCCATTCTGTCTGCTTCTGTGGACATTGCAGGCTTGAGACGAACTTGTTCCGATGACTACCCAGGGTTGATACGTACCCTGAAGTGCAGGTGCTTTCTCTGAACTACCTGAATCTTCTAAGTTAGGCTAAATATATCACAAGAATTGGATGTCTTGCTTCTTAATTTATGTAGTCATACATCCAGACCAAAATTTTTGACCTGTTTCTCTGAGTATGAGCACCTGCATTCAGATCTAAGTGCCTACATAACTAAATCATTTCTGGTTTTGTTTTGTTCTGTCCCCATCTGTGCTGATCTTAAGTAAAATAGCTGTAACACGTAGTTACTTTGAAGCCATATTACTGTGTAGCTCAAAAAAAAAAAAAATCCCATTTGAAAAAAAAAAATAGTTCTAGCCGATGTTCGCAGGAGAGATCTGCTATGTTTGAAAAGCCTTTAAATTCACAATATATTTCACTAAAAAAAATTATTTAAAGGATGTGAACAGCTTGTGGACACACACAAGTAGATGTATCCTTATCTCACCTATTTGACATAGAATACTATTACTCTCACAATGCAGATATAGAACTAAAACTGTTTGCCCCAAATCATTCCTAAATTATGTGCTACAGGTAGTAAGTTGGTGGATCCCAGTCTGCTGATTTCATCACTAACCTATCCTTCTTCAATCCCTCTTCTACACATGCGTAGTGATATTCTAACATGAGGTTTGGGGTTTTTTTTCCTTTCTAGTAAAACTGCTCTGCTGGAGGGCTTGGAGGTTGACCAGTATATGTGGGGTATTCTGAACGCTATACAAAAGTAAGTGAACTTACTCATTTCTGATATCCAAGACTAAGCAAATAGGAGATACGTTAACGAGTACTGAGATAGTCACACCAAAGTAGGTCTTAGTGATTGAACTTGAATACTCTTATTTCATGGCTCTTTGGTGGAGCTAGTGATACAGTGAATCAGTTTCCATCTACTTAATAGATCTTGTTTGGGTTATCTCTTGATGGCAGCCTCACCAATGAAGCAGAGGGAAGAGTAAGAATGGAGGATTAAATGCTTTCTCGTATTTACAAGTAGTCCCTCTGATTCACGTGTGGCAGACCGCATAGATATGTTTGGATTTCATTGTGTGGATAAACACAGAAATGTGCTCTGACGACTTGCTGTCAGCACACACTTGAAGAGTGAAAGATCTTGAGGTTGTATTATACTAGAGCATTTCAGAACATTTGTTACCATGCAGATTCTTACAGAAACTTCAGCAGAATTGATTTAAAGAAGAAAAAATCAATTAATGTGCTAAAATTTTCACATTATTTTACAGCTCGGAGTTTGAAGAAGTTACCATTGATCCAACTTGCAGTTGGAGGCCGGTCCCTATAAAGTCAGATATTCACATCAAAGATGACCCAGATGGCATTCCCTCAAAAAGATTTAAGACCATGAGTCCAAGCCAGATGATCATGCCAAATGTGATGGAGATGATTGCAGCTTTGGGTCCTGGCCCATCACCTTACCCATCCCTACCACCTCCTCCAGGAGGCAACAACTCCACTGAATATGGTAACCAAGGTTAGTTTTACAGCTTTGTGCACCCAGGTGGTCACTCTAGAAGTCAGTGGTTCGGTCAGCTTTGTGATTCAGGTATGTCAGTGCATCTTCTCAGAGAGATGCATAAGGAAAGCAAATTATATGGCTGCAGTTCTGAAATTCTGCATCAGTCTTTTCATTTAAGATTCATCCGTTCAGAGGAAAATATATTTTAGAAAGGAAGTTGGTGTTTGTCACATTTATTGCCACGCAGCCCTCCCTGAATCAACAAACGTTGTATGTTACCTTATATATTCATGGCTGCCACAATATACATCTTTCCTCATTTTTCTGTCCATTTTCCTTCTGTTCCCCCCTCACTCAGGTGAAGGCTCCTAGTAATACAGAAGTTACAAAGTAGAGAACCTGGCCCGTTAACCCTGCTACTTGAGCCACTAAATTTAACTTGTTGCCAGGTGGGTGACATTTGGTAGGCCACCCAGAAAGTGGATGACTTTTAAAGAGATTTTTAACTGCTTTGCAAAGAGCTTTGCATTAGAAAATTACTTTTGAGTTCATCTAGCCATGTGCTGCCAGATTTAGAAACAGGGAACTAACTACCGGAGATATGTTTTTCAAATGACTGGTACATTGTGAATAACTCAATGATAGTGACAATTCTGAAAATATGAAACCAGAGACTGTTTCTTTTGCAAGTAATATAATATGACTCAGTTCAGCTCTGGGAAAAGACCAACTGTTCACACCATCAGAATCCCCAAATTGATTGCAAGGTGATATATGTGCTTTTTGCAGGCATTTGAAGAAAAATACAGATTCCATGCAAAATACGGTTAATTTGCTCCAATGACTACGAAACTGATGACAGATGATAAAACTTTTTAGGTTTTCAAACAGATGATTTATTACTATAACAAAGCCAAGAGCACTGAATCACAAATTTTTCACTTGTTTAGTAGGAGTGAAGTGCAGTCAGAGCATGAGAGCAGAGCCACCTATTCCTCATCATCTTTCTAGCCCATGATCAGGAGCGGACAGGGTAGTCACGTAAAGTGGGGTTTAGGGTTTGTGTAACGATTGCTGCTTAGGCTATTATTTCCTTGCCTTCCCCTGTGGATACTGTAGCAGAGATAGTCACTGCTTCTCAGAGCCCTGGCTCATCAATGGCAGGTGAAAACCACGCTCTCCTATTTCCCCTGCAGTAGGCATATGAGTGCAGAGCACCAGGTTATCCTGAGTGTCTTTACAGGTCTGTCCCTTGGCATGTGGCACAATTCTTGCCCCAGAGAAGGGCACGCTGCTGCGTGGCTGTGACTCCCTGAGCGTACTGCCTTGCATTCTCATTCTCCATCAATACGTGCGCTGAAACTTAGTCTTTAGAGTTAGGTAATGTCTTCTGATTACAGTACTCTAAAGCAAAATAGTAGTAGTATTACTACTGTGGTTTGTTTATTTGGTTTTGACAGTAAGCATACTGAGGTTTACTTTGCAAATATAGCAAGTACTCAGTAATACAAGACCTTATTCCAGCTCCCTGCTATTCTTTCCTGAGAAGCAAGGTAAGACCAGCTGTTTTCTGTGAGACTCATCCAGTTTGCAGATTAACCAAATGAGAATTAGTAAGGCTCTGCAGTATTTACACGATAGATCAAAGTCCTGACTTCTTTGAGAAATACTCTTACATGGGTAATGACTTCTATTCCTCTGAGATTAAACTTCTGCTTGTGAAGCTGCTAAAGAGCAAATGATGCAGCTACTTCAGTTTGTCAAACTCCCTTCTTGACTTGAACATTTAAAGCTGCTGTACTTCCGCTGACGAACTGCAGGCTCTCAGTACAAGCTCCAAAGCTATTCTATTATTTCAGAGCTCAGTATCATCCAATTCAGTTGCTTTTACGAAATAGCTCAGTGGCTTTAGTTCAATTTTTGCTGTTCATAGCAAATAAGCCACCAGAGCTGGTATCTCAGTTGGAAGTGTTATCAGAGGGATCTGGACAGAAAAAATATGGAGAGTTAAAATCCCTGTATTGGGATACATGCTTGCTTTAGAATTCAAGTGAAGATCACTGGGCTGAGGTGGGATGCATCAAAACATACTGACAGTGGTCATACAGTACTTGTCCTGCAGATCAGCAGGGGACTCCAGGCTTGATGCTAGACAGTAGATGTGTGGGGGTAGATCCAGATCATTTATTCTGAATTGGTGTGAAATTTTGGTGCTTTGGTGAACATCGTTTTGGGCTGAATTTAGGTGGATTTCATAAATTCACTAGTTTTTCATTACGAGCGTGCATATCCACACGCTGAAACACAGGCTACAGACAGCCTGTACAGTTTGCAACTGTGAGAAGAATAGATCCAAGAGGGGAAAACTGATGTTGTATTTGCAGACAGTCAAGGGAATTTTAGTAGGTTTTGTGGGAGCAAGGAGACTAACATCACAAACCCCAATTAGACATGAAGGCCTCTTCTGCATTATCTTAATGGAAGTCGCCTGTTTATTCTGCAGAAGAAGAGGAGAAATAGATGCTGTGCTATGAACTGGTACTGTGGCATCTTCTTGATACAGTTCTGTCAAGTAGCTTCACCAGAAACTGAAGCAATGCTACAGTCTTACTGAGCGCGTAGAAGCGTAGATGTTAATAACGCAGGTGTCCTATAAATAATTTTGGGCTTGGGCAGTCAGTCTCAGTTGCACTGAGATGCTTCCAGATGCAAATATTCCATAGAATTTAATATCCCTTTCACTTCTCGACTTGGTTAAGTTTATGTCGTGACTTGACAGTAGTTTTTCAAAATGTCAGCAGTTTTCAATTAGTTACAACATGTACATGAATTACTGTGGCAGACATTTGAAAGCTGAGTGACTTTTTTTTCCCTCCCTATTCCTCCAGCTCGCTCCAGCAGTGGGGAGCACGGTGTTGCCTTGTTCAGTGTTGCAGTTGCCCTGTGCTGTGCAGGAAGGATGCCATGCCACAGCTTTTACAAGATACTCTGAGAGATCAATGTTGGAAACAGTTTCTTTCATATCACATCTGTTTCTCTTTTAGGCAACAGTTACCAAGGTCATGGCAATTTTGACTTCCCGCACGGGAATCCCGGTGGCACATCTATGAATGACTTCATGCATGGGCCACAGCTGTCGCATCCGCCAGACATGCCGAGCAGCATGGCAGCTCTCGACAAACCTCTCAGTCACCCCATGCAGGAATCTGTAAGTAATGGTGCTGTGGACATAGATTTTCCTTTGTGGGGGTAAGGAGCTCTCGTCCAGCTAACGGACTTGACTTGTGAACTGTTTTTACATTTTGTGGATTCCTCACTTCGGAAGTTTGTGAAGTAGTGTAGTCCTGAGAAATGCCAAAAATGCCATTTTTAGTTTCTGGCCTTTTCGAGTTTTTGGAGAAGCATTTCTGAGCTTTTTGAATTGTCGTTTAAGCTTGTTTATCTGAAAGAGGCAACCTGGCTCGGTGTGCTTGTGTTAATCATTGTGCTTTGCTCTGACACCTGAAAAAAACTATAGACTTCATTCCCTAGGCCAGCAGGGTCCGTGCATATCCATCTTCAGCAGACAGCTTGTTATAGCAAGACAGGGACTGACTTCAAAGCAGGGACAATATCTTCCCTGGCTTTGTCCCTGAGGGCAAAATTTGCATCAAAGCATTTTGAGGGGGAATTCTACCCAAGTAGCATGAAAGGCACCTTTAAGCTGTTGGGAGTAGGACAAGCCTGTAGATTAAAAGGAGAGATGCTGCCACTGGTCTGAGAGCGTATCAATGTAAGAGACTAAAACACAGGGGTTCCTCAGGTCTCAGATGGAGAGGCAGAACTGTGCGTTGGAAAAGTAGCTTGCTCAGAGCACCGAGTTTGATATACAGAACTTTATATAGCTCCAGAAAATGCAGTACTGCAGCAGCTAGGTGATAGAAAAGCTACCAGCAGCATTTAGCTCTTAGGCATGGCTAGTCATCTATTTTAACTCGGGCGGGGGGCGTGTATACATCCTTTTATGCTCATTTAAGTTACAGGGCAGGGGCTTTATAGTGTGCTGTTACTGCACAGGAAGGATGTTTAACTTGACGAGTCATCTGTGCCGTGTCTTTAGTGAATACTAGAAAGTACAATTTCAGAATGTAATGAGGAAATGTGGTAGCAGATGCTCAGCAAAAGCCTGCTCAGCCAATGTCTCCTCTAGCTGGCAGTGGGTTTTCCAAGGAGGATGGTGAGAAATAGGAGGAAAGTGTGGAGAGAGTTCTTAGTATAGCTTGGAGAGAGCCCAAGTAACAAGACTGTCTGGAAAGGAAGAGTCCAGAAACCGTAACGACTTTACCACTTTACAGGCTAATAAAGGACAGAACAAACATGCTGTAAACTTAATTTTACATTGGCAAATTCTGCATACCCAGGTCAAAGAGCAGTCTGAATTATCTGCACCAGAACCAACCGTACAGTATTAGAAAATAGTAGTGAGGGGAAATACTACCAACCTGAACCACACACAGCTGCTTTCCTTTGAATCAAAGCCACAGGGAACTATTCTTTGCTTCCCATTACCTGACACCTACCTCTTGACTTCATCAGTTAACTGCTATACCTTTGCTTTAGTAGTTGCCCCAGTGAAATTGCTGAAGTGGTAGGATATGAAGTGGTTGAATATGAAAGTGAAGAATCTGTGGCTTTCTGAAAATGGGACTGCTCAGAGATGATAGCAAAGGTGAAAGTTGCTCAAGGCTATGCATGTTCCAGAGCTGTAAGAGGGTATTTGGGCAAATGTTAATAGATTTTTGGTTCGGTGGGCCAGTCTGTAGGAAATCTGATGCTTGCTTATGATAGCTGGCAATTAAAGTAAACCTTTACCTCGCTTCTCCCTCATCTATCATGATACACAGGCTATACTGTTTGGGAATGGGAAGCGGTGCTGAAGCAGGTTCCACCAAGTTTATGTCAGTGGCTGATTTTCACTAATAAGGATCAGTTTTCAGATCTATTAGCGCAAGGGAATTAGATTGACCTTGTCAACACAGTCACGCAGTCTTCCGGCCACGTTTGAGGCCTGTTAGTGCTCCCACACTGCTTTTTCAGTATTATAAAGTCTCTGCTTTCCTCTTTCTCTCTTTTTCTCCTCCTTCCTTTCTTCTCTCTGAAAAATGAACTGTTTGTCTGTAGCAGACACTCAGGAAAGGCAGCTTTAAAATGACTGCTTTTAGAGAAATGCATGCCATTAACACCTTCCTAAATTGTGTAGCTGAATGTCTTTGGACAGACATCTCTGTACGAAAATAACTGTAAATCACATTGTGTAATTGAACTACGGTTTTAAGATGTTGCCTGTGTTCTTGTCTGGCTTTCTGTCTTTTTATGCATTTAAGGTGTATTTTGTTTTTGTCTGCTATTCGCTTTGACTGTTTCGTGTTTACAAGGTGAGTCAGGATCAGATGTTTGGTCCTTTTAGACCCAAGGTCTGTCTCTAACTGGAGCTGAATGCTGCTGAGGAAGTTACTAATTTTCCTATTATGAAGATTTATGTGGTGGCCCTTATATAATGGTAGGCAGAGAAAGTTGATGCCTCCAGACATACTCCGTAGGTCACTCCGGGAAATGCAGATGTGTTTGCCCAGTGTAGGTAGGGCTGGGTAACCAGGGCTGGGTCATCAGAGCTACCTTCTCTCAACATTGCTGTTCCACTCCTGTGGAAGAATGAAAAATGAAGACCTGAAACGTGGCTGGAAGTAATACCTCTTCCCCAGTGTAAAGTGCTGTGAGAACTAGAGAACAGATGCTTCTATGTCAGTGCAAGATTACTATAAAATAGCTGCCACAATCGCATCACGTTTGTTTTCAGAAATTGTAAACGAGTTTTAGACAAAGGTGAATTCAGAGTTAGCTCTAGCTTAGTGCTTATTGCAAGAGGTGTAAGGAGTGATACATGACTGAGCAATGGATGATCATGCCATAGTTTCATATACACGGTGAGGTGATATGAGCTGGTGCCACTGTAAAAAGTCATCACTCTTCTCTTTTCACTTTCCCACTCTCTCACACCAGCACAAGTGTTATTGCAGCCATGAAGTGATCTGAATCCGGGTACTGATGTGATTGAAAACTAATTCGGGGAGGTGGGGGGGAAGTTTCGGTTTGATCCATGTCAGTCCCCCAGTTGAGTTTGCTGCATGTCTGCAAGGATGCACCCTATGACAGAGGCGTGGGTAGGAAAAGTGGCCGAGAACAGCAGCAGGGCAGGACAGCACCTTGCAGTGGTTCTGCCAGCTAACCCAGCAAAAGAGTTGGTAAAACTGTGACCCCAGTAATGGAGAGAGATACAAACCGTCGACTTCACCTGCTGGTCTTTTTTTCACTATCAGTTTTCTCCTGAGATGAAAGGAATATTGTTGTGCAGCTGGCAGGTCCCATTGCTCTCCAGCTATGCATCTCGGCACTCCTAGAGGTCACTGTTGGGCTCGTAAAGAGTTGGGTTGTTTTGTGCTATTAAGCCGAAGATGTAGCTGTGTCTGGTATAAGCTTTTCTTTTATAGACTGTAAATGTTTTAAGAGTGCTAAAGTTTATGCTCCTGAAAACAACTGTGGAAGTACCTTGCTATGTAAGCAAAGGCAACTTTGTTAGACCCCTTGTTCATAGCGATGGGAGTTGCAGAGGCAAGCTGAACGTGCACAAAGTGTATTGCTTAGAATGTTTTTGCACCAGGCAAACTTACCATTAGTTAGCTGAATGCAAATAGAAAAATGTTGACGTCCTGAGCGTTTTGCTTTCTCACAGGTAGGCTGGTGGAGCCTGTGGCCTAAGTCAGATGGATTTTGAGAATGCGATGGCTGTTTAAGATTATGATGGCCCTCGGTCTTACAATGTACAGTTGCTCCCTATCCAGCAGTTATCTTGGGGCCCAAGATGCTGCCTTATCAACTAAATATTTATATAT